TTGTGACAGACGGATAACGTTGTGACAGACGGATAACGTTGTGACAGACGGATAACGTTGTGACAGACGGATAACGTTGTGACAGACGGATAACGTTGTGACAGACGGATAACGTTGTGACAGACGGATAACGTTGTGACAGACGGATAACGTTGCACACAATTATTTTTTTTCTTCTCCAGGAGGCGGCGAAACAAAGACCAAATGCTGGAGCTTTCAGCTTCGATTCACACGTGGTGATGTTGGACTGGGGGCCTACCTGGGACTCACCTTTGCACGTATGTACCCATGTGGTGATGTTAGACTGGGGGCCTACCTGGGACTCACCTTTGCACGTATGTACCCATGTGGTGATGTTGGACTGGGGGGCTACCTGGGACTCACCTTTGCACGTATGTACCCATGTGGTGATGTTAGACTGGGGGCCTACCTGGGACTCACCTTTGCACGTATGTACCCATGTGGTGATGTTAGACTGGGGGCCTACCTGGGACTCACCTTTGCACGTATGTACCCATGTGGTGATGTTAGACTGGGGGCCTACCTGGGACTCTTATTTAGGCCCTGTAATGAAGATATTTAATTCTTGAACGTAATGATTTAGAAAGTTTTTTTTTTTTTTTTATAAAACCTTTGCCCTAATTACTGTACGTCAGCTCGCCTTTTTTAATATCTCCATGCGTTTAACAAAGCTAAGTCAAATGATAGAGAAAGTTAGATCAATAAAATTAATCCTCAAAAATAAAGTCATCTCTCCTATTCCAACTTTTAGGGTACGGATAAGCTCACCAACCAGTTTACCCTACCCTTTTCGCCATAACCAATTCATCCGTGACTTTTCTTTTGGGCTCGTGTTCAGTGACTCGTGACCTCTTTTATTCATTCTCTACGTCTTCCATACAGTGGGACCAGAACGAGGCTTCAAGCGTCCGAGATTTGAACGCCAAGCGTGGACGGACGAAGTCATGGCGGCCAACGACTGCAAACACCGGATGTCCGGCAATAACTACGTCGTCGTCATGGACGCTGACGAGTTTATTCTACCCCACGGAAACCTATCGACCTACTTCGACATTCTACAGGTAAGGGTCACATAGGATACTGTCCTATGCTACCACTGTACGACAACACTTGAAAGGAAATTTTCCAATGGTGTGCTACATCAGTCCACGATTAAGTCACGTCATAGTAGATTGTCCACGGTGGTAACTTAGTAAGGTAACTTGTTTGTTTACGACAAATTGGCATAACTCTTTTTAGACGAACAAATCGTTGGTTGACTTCTTTTAAAAAACATAATTCGTCCGTGTTCACGCCATGCTAGCTTATTGTTTATGGTGACACGTTATATGTCCTTATCTTTGTATTTATATGTCTTTACTTGCTCTATGCTGTGTTTTTTTAAAAATTGAAGTAGTCTAAATCTTTGGTACGAGTTTCATTATTTTCATTTAATATCTCTCATAAAAAATGTATAAGAGTTGTTCTGAGTAAATTTTACAAGGCCGTCAAGCGCTACCAGATGCCTTTATCGATGTACATTACCATCGAAGCGTCTCAAAGCGTGATCACACGACCCATAATGACAAGAGATCAATGATTTATTTGAGATTTTTAATTTTCAGAAATACATAACAACAACTAGGCGAACTAAGACAATTTGTATTGTTGGTTCAAAAAAAAAAAAAGGGGAGGGGGGTGGGGACAGAGCCAATGGCACAAATAAAATGTATTACAGAGCATGGTCCTAATGGTATAAACAAATAGTGCGATTAGGAAGTTTTGGAAGTTGCAAATAATGTATTTTCGTCGGATAAAACGTGACTCGTTATAGTTGTGTTAGATATTTGGTGTTGAACAATATCATTGTACGACATTCATGTTTGGCTTGACTCGTTTGAAACAAATACCACATAAGGCGCGGTAGAAATCTTTGACAAGCACACAGTGACAGACGGATAACGTTATCTTTGACGAGCACACAGTGACAGACGGATAACGTTATCTTTGACAAGCACACAGTGACAGACGGATAACGTTATCTTTGACAAGCACACAGTGACAGACGGATAACGTTATCTTTGACAAGCACACAGTGACAGACGGATAACGTTATCTTTGACAAGCACACAGTGACAGACGGATAACGTTATCTTTGACAAGCACACAGTGACAGACGGATAACGTTATCTTTGACAAGCACACAGTGACAGACGGATAACGTTATCTTTGACAAGCACACAGTGACAGACGGATAACGTTATCTTTGACAAGCACACAGTGACAGACGGATAACGTTATCTTTGACAAGCACACAGTGACAGACGGATAACGTTATCTTTGACAAGCACACAGTGACAGACGGATAACGTTATCTTTGACAAGCAC